GCTGCAGGGGGGATATCTTGGCGCCGAGCGGCGCCGTGGGTCGCCCCATAAAGATGGGTGGGCGGCCTCGGAGGAGACTCCGGGAGCTTTGGGGTGGGGTGTGGGGCCGGGGGCGCCTCTGTGAGGATGATGTGGGGCTTGGAGGTCGGGGGCTCGGTTCCCTCTGTACCGGGGAGCTGAGGGGTCCCCTCTATGAGGCCCGGGGCGGGATGGGATGTGTGGGGCTGCTTCCCTCACCGCCCCTGTGACCATGGCGGAGGAGGGGAGGCGCTCTGAGTGCTGGCGGGTTGCTGCGGGGTTTAGGGTGTTAAGCGATTCTCTGAAGTTGGGGGGCTCTCTGTGAGCTCGGAGAGGGGCTCGAGAGGTTTGGGAACCCGTGCGTTTGGCAGTGGTGCGGGGATGGCGGTGTCTCAAGGACACCCCGTTAAACCTGGGGGTGGTGCGGGGCTGAAGGAGTCCTGGGGCGCTGGGGGTAGCTGAGGTACCGGATCGTGCATGGGGTGGGCGCCGCCGAGACGCCGCCCTGTCGCACCCTTACTTGCCCGGCCTCCCCGTCTGGCTGCCTGCGCTGCCCCTTCCCTTTCCCGAGGGGTCTGGCCAGGGCGCTTCTTCCCTAAGATCTCTGAGGGCAAATGCTCTTGAAGGAGGCTGTTACCAGAAGCGTTTGCTGCGAACCGAAGCGTGTGCACAAATACAGGTGTCATCTCTGACAGTTTGCCTGGAAACCTTCACGGCAGCACGGGTCTCAGGTCGTTTAAGTGTTCACAAATGGTGCTCTTAAACCTGGAACACTAGTGTGCACATGACACTGCAGGCCGGTGCTCTGCAGCTCAACTGCTAGAGGATCTCACAAGTTCATTAAGTACAAAAAAAAAAAGTCTGTCTCTCTGTATGTTTTGTAGCCTTTTTAGGTTTTTGAGGATCCAATGGTGTTTTAGGTAGTGCTGCTTAAAGGGAATAAGGGCCTAAGTAGCTGCTGTGAAGCTCTGATTAAAGAGGTCTAGCATCCTTTTCAAGTCTTATGCAAAGCCTGATATTATAAATAGTGGATATGTGAGGTCTAATTCCCTGTTATCATTGAATTTACATTGACTTTTAAATATTGAGTTAAAGATTGACACTTGTGCTTAAATGAATATTCTTTTAAAATGTGAAGTAGTTTCATTTTGGGATCTTTATTAGCAAAGATGTGGACCATAGTGGAAAACTTGCTGGCTTTCACTGCATGAATTTCCATGTATTGGACACTGACCACTTAAAACAACAACAACGCAATTTAGTTTAAAACTTTTCATCTCTTTCATTATTCCTCATTAGCTGCTAGCTAATGAGGCTGTGAAAACAAAATCTAGATCAACTTTTGTCTGCAAATATTTTAAATAATCCCTTTGATGATTTAATTCCATAACATGGAGTTTGTTTCTAATATGTAAAACTGGGTAAATGTGTGTGTGCATTCTGCTGGTTTGCTAGGTATTTAATCTGATCTAGCAGCAGTACATAAACAGTTTGATATAATAAAGCTGAAGTTTTCCATGGTTAAGGGAGGCTCTATGAGGTTGTGTTGGAAGGTACTGTCCGTTTTAATTTCATCTTAGACTTTGTTTTTAAGCTAGTTACATTAAGTAACTAGAGGGTTTCAAAGATTCAGCTTTTGATCAGTTTTCTTAGCTTTAGCTTGGAAGAATAATGGGAAGTAGTGAAGCTTCAAGTATTTCAAATTTTAGAAGTCATTTATATATACATATATATAAAAATATATATATAAATAAATTTTATGTATAAGACAACTTGGCCTTAAAGTCTGACTCAAAAAGAAATAAAGAAACAACAAATACAGCCATAGCCTGCTTGTTATTGCTGCTTTAGTGATTGTTTGTGTTCCACTGCTGATAGTGTGAAACTCTGGTCTGCTGTTGTCTGTCTTGCAGACAAAGCAGCTGAGTTCAGTGCATAGTGAAGCAAACTGATGTAAAGTGGGAGAATGTGTGCAGGGACTTGAATTTAAACATATGGACAGGAAGCTTCAGAACATGATATAAAACTTAGTGTGGATGTTCTTGTTGCCTTTCTGAAGGATGACTTTAATCACCATTTTCAGATGGATCTTGACTGATCTGAGCTTGTTGATGGATGGGGGTGTGGGGGGGCGAGGTGGGGGGAAGCTATTTCAGGTGTTTGCTCTTGAGCACTTGATGGCTTTCTGGACCAAATCATCCTTTCAAATGATTTTCTCCAGTTGATGATCCTGAAAGAAATGGCTTTAAGTTTCACTGATAATTATGCACTTATGGGGAATCATTCTTGATGGGCAGTGGCAGTGCCTTATTCTTGCTCTATTCTTTCTGTCATCTGGTATTTTTTGCCTTTTTTGTCTTTCTGTTCAACCTCTCCCTCACCCAAATACTTGGTGAGGCAACTACTGACTTTAAAAGGCTGCAGAGGGGTCTCTAAGCAGAACAAAAAGATGACTCAGTTAAGTTCTGTGAGCTGTTAGTTTGCATGGGATAGTTTAAGAAGGAAAATAAGTTAGAGAAATAAAATCTTCTTCTCTTCTTCTTCCCTGTTCTTAGATGTGAAGCAAACTTTAGTTCCAAATCTGCCACATCAGACATCCATAAAGGCTTAGAAGACCATGTAGGATGATCTGATTTTACCAGTATATCTAGTCTAATAAAAATATCTATTCCTTAAACATTGCTTTCACAAGTTTTTTTTTCCAGTTTTTGTACCAATAATGCCTATAAAACAGGCATTATTGAGGCTGTTTTAAACATATGAGCATGAGCCTTTACATAAAGTCCATGTGTGTGCAGAAAATAGAGAAAAATTGAATAATTTTGCCCAGAACTCCTCCTGCTAAGCACACCTTAACTAAACACATTTGTGTTGCTATTTACTGGTGTACGATGTGGTAATGAAGCCATATGAATAAAATGAAGAAATGATGGTGATTTGCCCCTTGCAAAGGCTGTAATTTTGTTAGATCTCCTAGCATAGGAGACATGACTGCACTTTGGTAGCCCTGCTAGCCTCAAGAAGGTGGGGATGAAGAAAGCACTAAATGATAGCTCCTTTTAAAGGATTGGCACCTTAATTAGTAGGCTTATATGTCTGCAGCATGTGTAATATCAGCGATAACCTTTTAGACATGTAACAAAAAAGTGCCTGCAGAAATGCTCCGTTTGGATGCCTGCTGGGTGGTGTGAGTTACCTTTTCATATCCGGGTTTTTAATACTTTTAAATCTCCTTGTTGCAGCTGTTAATCTTTCTTGGCTAGCAAGTGTCAGGCTTGGAGCATGTTTGATTATCTGAAGGTGCATCTGGTCGGTCACACCCTCTCATTGACGGTGCAATGTTGTATGTGTTGATATCCTAGAATGAGTCTGCAGATTTTAAATGCAGAAAATGGAGAAAACTGTGAAAACATCAATGATGATCTAACAGCGGAAGACTCTGGCTTTTGCTTTGCACCACCGGAACCTACAGGGAGGCAGTCCATCCTGCGCCTCTCGCAGAAAGAAAACTTGCCACTAAAAAGTGTGGCAAAAGCGATGAAGGTAAATTTGCTTCTGAATTGATTATTTTCTTCCTTCTCTGATCTGTGGTGCTGAATTCAATGTTTATGCTATTTGAAACTTGAAAATAAAAAGCTTTTTTTGTTCATATTCTTCCCTTTTTTCTCTTCCTTCCCCTCCCGAAGGTGACCTTCCAAACTCCTCTAAGAGATCCTCAGACTCGAAAAATCTTAAGTCCTGCCATGGCAGACAAGCTTGAGGCTACTTTTACACTGGATGATTGCAGGGATGCCCCAGAGGATGATCTTTTATCTGCCCCTGACAATGTTGAGTAAGTAATGTCACTGCTAGCAGTCTTAACAATACAGGACATACTCAAGTTAATGCTCCCTCATTATAAACTTATTTTTTATATGTAATTTTATGACTATTTAACATGCATAAGATCAAAAATAGGTGATGCACAAACTTTTTTATCCAAAGTTAATGACACTTGCAATATTGGTTGCTGAGCTCTGTTTCTAGCCCTGTAAGTACATTGGGTAGAGAATACAAAACTGTTTCCTACCATAACTTTTTTCTGTGAGACTATGTAACTATCTGTCTTGTCATATGACAAGTCCTTCAACTTCCTTTTTTATTTCTTTGTTCTTAAGATATATTCTGAAGAGTTGGCTTGAATCTCAAGTCAGCGAATGCTGAGTGTGTGTGTGTGTTTGTTATTTTAAAGTAATCTGAAGTGAATCTAACATTAATCCCAAACTGCAACTAGTTTATGCACCTCTAATCTAGGAGTCCGCGTTTCAGTGTGGCCCATGACAGCTGTCTAGAGAAGAGCACAGTCAGCAGTGTTACAATTTAAGGTTTTGTGACTGCCTCTTTACTAGAGTTACTGTTAATAATAGCATAGCAATAATAAAGAGATATTATGTTATTTAATATCTCTCAGTGGATATTTTTCTTAGATCCCCTTCTGTGGAGCAAAATGTTTGTTCGATTGTTTTAAAAACTATCTGTTAGTTTTAGTTAGCTCCCTTTCTTTGCATTTGGGCTGAGAAGAAAGATGGAAATGGTGGATGATCAATTTCTCACTGCCCCTTAAGAGGGTGGATTCACTTCAGGAGTTAACTTGCATGTATACTGTAGCTTAGGAAAGTGCTCCTGAGCAAACTGCTGCCATTTTTAAATGACTTAATTACATCTATGGCTCAAACTTACTGTTTGCATGGGTGAATGAAGATCTAATGCATAGACAGCTCACTTAAACAGTAGGTGCCAGTGCTTTTAACTTTTAATTAGAGGCATAACTGTTTCGAGGCATTGCTTGTGTATATCCTTTTCTTGCTAAAAGGAAATCTGTATTTCAAAATTAAAAACTATGTATTGCTGAACTTTTTCTTTGGAAAGAAATGTCCTTTAAGTTGATAGCTTGCTCTTGACTGGCACTTATTTGGTTAAATACTGAAAAAAATGGGAGGGGCCTGGCAAGTTAGACAAGTCTGGGGCTGGACTGTTGCAGGGAAGAGGCACTCAAACGGGTGAGAAGAGCTTCGTGACCTTTATCTCCAGCCTTTGCTTTCAGCTTTATCAAAGTACTGTTTTTACTGAGCAGCTTTTAATCATGTTCTGCTCTATAGCAGATATGAGTGGTGCACAGATAGTTACTTTGCACAGGGACAAAACAATGGGAGGAAATCCTGTTTCAGGAAGTAATCGCTTAACTCTCTGTAATCTGAGGATGAGCCTCAAAAAAGTTAAGTTTGGGGAAATAACGTGGAGAGCTATATCTTGTAGAATACCCAGCAGTAGTGAGTATACAAACTTTTACTTGTTTCTTCTCTTAACATCTTACTCTTTTTCTCCTTCTTGCGGTAGAACTTTCTAGAGAAATTTTATTGTATATTGCTTTGCTCTACTCTTTGCTTTATAGAGTTGAGAATACCTGAAGTCCAGGTTTTGTTCTGACTGGGCCTCATATATGAAATGCTGCTGCATGCTTTCAGACATGCAAAATCATCCAGAATGTCCAGACAAAAAGATTGGACAAAATGGGGGAAGTGAGTCATGATCCTAGTTTGAGCCTAGTCTTATGAGTTAGTCATGACTCAGACAAATCACCATGAAGATGTACTACTAGTGAGCCTGTGTCTGAGCTGATTTAAGTTCTCCTGAGTAGTATATGTTTATTCAGGGAAATGAAAATGTCTGTTTCACTGTGGTGAGTAGAGCTGTCACAGCAATGATTGGAATAAGAGAACCTAGCTATGTCAGGTGGATAGCTTAAGAATACTCAGTTACTTTTAAGGACTATTCTCCTGTACTTCTGGTATAGCATCTCATAAGTTGTCTTTTTTTTTTTTTTTTAAACTGTTGGTCTACATACTACATGAAAAATTAAGACTGCCTTAGAGCATATAAAGCTACTTGTGTGATTCATCTTTTAAAAGTGATTTGAAATTATATCTGAAAAATAGCTATATCGTGTATGTTTGGATTCTTTCAATGCAGCACAAGTCCTCAAAAAACTGAAGCTGGTAATAGAGAGTCAAATATACAAATGCCAGAGAAGGTCAGCGCTGCTTCTTACCCTGATGATGAGATGCCAGTGAAGAGCCGAGGTTCCTACAATATTGACTTTGATAACTTGGATGACATCAATCCCTTTCAGAGTTCAATGCAGCTGCAGAATTCTCCTGGAAATCTACAAAAGCCTCCTGTATCTAGCAGTCCTGGGAGAGTTCCTGAAAAATATAGGAATTCTCTTCCACTGGATGATACAGTTTCTTTCCCTTCAAATACAGCAGGTACGGAGAGCTCCAGTGCAGAAGAAAACAAACTTTTATCTGGAAAATCTGTTTTGACAGAGTTAGAGGAGCCTAACAAACACAGGCTGGCTCCTAAGCAAACAGTCAGTTACTCTGTGCAGGATGTGAAATCTTATTCCAGTGTAGTAAGCCACAATGATAACTCTGTGGGATCAACAGAAGCACCTAAACATTCTGTACAACTATCTGGCAAATCGGATCCTAGTAGTTCTGATGTAATTGATTCTTCTAAAACCGGGGAAATGAAGCTTCAGAATGTTTCTGTAGCAGAAAAAGCTTCCACAGAAGAGTCAAAACCTGCAGAGCAGCCTGTTGTCTCTAAGGAGGAATCTGCAGAAAAACCTGATATTGCCAAAGCTGGACCAGTAAAACTGGAATTTGACTTTGATAACACCACTGCTAGAAAACCACCTCCTAAGAAACTGGGTAAAAGACCTGGAATTAAGCCACCTTCCAAAAAGATTCCTAGTGTCAAAGCAAAAACAGAGAATACTGAAGTGAAAAATATAAGTAATATGGAAGAAGACATTCCTGTTCCCAAAGCATCTTATAAGTTTGACTGGGACAAATTTGATGATCCGAACTTTAATCCGTTTGGAGGAGGCTCAAAAATTTCCAGCTCGCCCAAGTGTCCTAAACCTACCACTCAATCTCATCTGCAAGAGGAGCAAGGTGGTACCTCCTTAAGGAGGGAATCTCTTCCAGTGGAGCAGGATAACATACCAAGTACCTGTGAAGTTCTTGAGGAAAAAGATCCTGGAAGTCTGTAAGTAAATCTGCAGGAAGGAATTTAGAACTCTTTTTGTGAAAATAGGTTGTTTATTTCTCTTAACTCAAGAGTTAGAACCCATTTGTTTCTCCCTTAAGTAGATGGGTGGACTTATGATGTTCTCTGTAGTCCCTAGCATAAGAGGTTGTGATGCCAAAGATCTGCTTGGGGAAGCTGTCTGGAAATGGTTTTGGGCAGAAGTTATTCTTAAATCTGCAGGAAGGGAACAGACTTATGTGGGAAGAGCAATAATACAGTTCAAATGGTTCTTTATCCTCACTCTGCCAAAATCTGACTAGGACGTGGAGAAATTGGGTAGGTGCTACTGTGTTTCAAAAGAACTATGTTTTGAGAGTTAATGGAGAGTTAATTGGCACAGTTATGCTTTATGCAGCATGAAAAGGGACTAGACAGTTATGTTCCATGTCTACAGTGTAGAATTAAGTACAGATTGAAGCAGTGCTGTGGTAGGATTTCTTGCATTATCGTTGGGATCTGAATGCTATTTCCAATGTAAAAAAAACCTGCTTGCTGTAAATGTTAGTTTTTTTGGCATGAAATCAGATTTTTTTTTTTCTCCCTTGAGAATGGAAGATTATGTGTTTTATTTCCCAGAAATTTGAACTATTAAATTGTCAGTAGCTCTTTGCATTACTATAGGCAGGTGCTTGCTTGAAGTTGCCTTTCATGAGATTTGGCAGAACTGAGGATCTGCTTTGTAACTCTCTAATCAGCTACTTGTAACTTTTCACTTGGTAAATAAAAATTCCTGTCATTGATAAATAGAGTATGAGAATTTTAATGAAGCTTTACACCTGTAATCGTGCTACATTCTCTTGGTGGAAAGAGAAGCAGGCTGCCTTGTAAATTCTAGTTCTTTTTAAACAAAGCGTCCTTCTTAATAGTAACTTGGGCTTTACACTTAGAAATAAGTCAAGGGTGTTAAGCCAAGACTCTTCTATGATACTGCTGTAACTTTCTCTGCTTCCCTGGTAGCTCTGTTTCTGATGAACTTTCTGGCTTTTAAATGTTGTCAGGGAAGACAGTGAATTTGCATCCCTGTCGCCCTTGAAACCTTCTGGAATGTAGTAGAAGCTTTCAAATAAGCTTATTTTATTCACTGTTTCAATATATCTAGCAAACAATTCAGAATGGTCTAGCTGACTTGGATTTGTTGACACCCACCCCCCCCTTTTTTTTTTTTTTTTTTTTTTAGGGAAATTGGTAAACAGAGTGTGGAAGAGGACAAGCCAGCAATTCAAGAAGACACGCTGGGAGCTCAAACAGAAGCTGAGCTTCCAGGACAGCTAGCCACGGTAATATATGGGGAAAAAATAACAATTTCTTGGCCAGTTGTTTAATGGAGCAAGATTATTCTCGACTTCACCATTATATCCCTTATTTTATATTCTGCATAATAATTTTTTTAAGGATCTTCACCAGTTTAAGACCTAAGTGTCAACACTGCACAGACTTCGCTTAAAGGTAACATCAGAGGTAGCAAAATTGGTGGCTTGGTACATAGGATCTCTTTTTGATCAGCAGTCATATATAAGGACAAACCAAAGGGTGTGGACTTTAAGGAGTGACTCCTGCCTAATGTGAGGGTTCTTAAACAACGCCTTGGTAGTACTGCTTATTTTCTGGGCCTATGAACTTCTGAGGTTTATACTGGCTGCCCAGCTAGTTTAACAATCCAATTTGATCATTATTATGATACCGAATGTATATTTTCGTATTCCAAGTAAAGTGTTTTATTAACAATCCAGAGCTTTGGTTTTTCTTCTACAGGAGAAGCAAATGAGTCCTTTTAAATTGTCTCCAGCTAAGGAACCATCTCAAGATAGACTAGCTTCCACTGACAGTGGAAAAAGCTCAGCGCTTACAGAAGAAATTAAACTTAGTTCCCACAGAACTGAGACAAGAGCAGATGACCAGACAGCTAGCACTGAACCTGAAGAGCAGTTCAGACCATCAGCAGAAGGTAAGAGCAGTTTTTCAGACAGATTTAGAAAGATTAAAATAACCACTCAAATCTTTGTTTCCCTACTTAATATTGGCAATTGATTTACTTTTTTGAATTTATTTTTACTTTTTTGTCTCCTTTTGCTATTTATTTGTATGGTTTATAGCCATCTCTGGATTATACTAAATTCCACTAGCTGACTAATAGTGATAATCTGCTGTCTGAGGTTATGAATTTTCTTTTGTCATAGAAATGGTTTTGGGAGCTTCAGTGACACCTTGCTTTGCTGAAAATATGCTCTGCCCTCAAAATCACTTCTAGCAACACCAGAAGTACTTCCTAAATTGAGATCATTAGAGCCATATACCTGCCTATGTTTGAGTCTTGTAGCTTCTTGCAGGCCCTGAGCACTGTTCGAATGCTGATGGCTTGTTTCAGCATGGGTGCTTTTTCTTCACTTGCATGTGTGCCTTGAAAGTTTATTGCATAACCAAGATCTTTTGACTCCGTGGATGAATTGTAACTTCTTGGAGCATTGTGTGGAAGAGTGAGCGCACAACTCGGCTGCTGTGCAGAGTGTTGCAGAGTGCTTGAATGGAACTGACATACTGAGAAGCAGCCAGGATAACTTGTACGATCACAGCTGTGAGCTGGGTACTAATTTTAATGGTCAGACGAGTAATTCTAGCCTTTTGTTGGGGCACTGTATAAAAAATAAAATATCTGAGTGTGCTTGCCACTTTAGAACAACAGAATTTCTTCAAAAGTGTGTTATTCTGAGTTTAATACCCATTTAAGGGTGAATGGGGGGCTAAAAGTTTATATGGCTTAGAAACCTTGGTCTCTAATTGGATTTTGAAGCATAAAACTCTTGACAAGTGAAAAACCAAAGCTGATGAAATGAGAAGAGGGTTTGACCTGCTTTTTACCCACATGTATCTTTCTCTATCTGTAGATGCTCTACTGTAAAGATAATATGGCAATGCTGCATATCTTATGCATAATTCTTTTCCAGTTCTAGGAATGGGTATAGACTATCTGGAACAGTTTGGAACTTCATCAGTAAGTATGATACTGAAATGTTTTGTTATCCATCCTTCATAAGGGAAAAGAGAAGAAAAAGGAAACTGTCAAACCATGGATGCTTTTATGAAATTATTTGGTTTTGAATTTAACCATAATATTTTTTTTTTCCTCTTTTGGAGAAGCATCTCTATGTAGGGATGTAGCTACAAGCATTTCTGCTAAGGATCAGAGATCTGTGTTTTTATTTTTCAGTTACTT